CGCTGGTCATTTTTTAGCAAACTTGTGTTTTCTACACTGACTTGTGTAGAGCGTGAATGTGCAAGCCTTGTTTTTAAAAAGATAGCAAGCACCTGCAATGGTTTGCCTTCTGTTGTAAAGATTTTAGGAAGTCTATTGAGCTCAACAACAAATAGTGAACAGTGGGAAAGTGTCGACAGTAAGCTAATAAAATTAGAAAAGATGGAAACACAATTTCCCAGTCCTTTACTATTGAGTTATTATGAATTGCCTTCCAAATTTAAAAAATGTTTTCTATATTGTGCAATCTTTCCGAAAGATTTTGTGATAAATAAAGATAATTTGATTAAGTTATGGATGGCTCAAGGTTATCTTAGGGCATTAAGAAAGGATGACGCATGGAGTTAGTAGGTGAAAAGTATTTTGCAATCTTAGCAATGAGTCATTTCTTTCAAGATTTTGAAAGAAGTGTATACAATGGTAGCATATTACGACGTAAGATGCCCAATATAGTGCATGATTTTGCTAAATTTCTTATGGAGAAAGAATGTTTAACTCCCACCAGTAAAGATGATCATCAGAAATCTCAATTAGAAACTCCTTGTGAAGAAGCTCGACATGTGATGATAACAGCTAATTCAATTCCAATCTCTTATATTCGTAAAGCGACAAAGTTGCCTAGCTTGGTTGTAAATAAGACAGAAATTGGGGGATAGCTATTCAAAATATTTGAGGAGTTGACATGTTTAAGGACATTAGATTTGAGTGATTGCTCAATAGAAGAAATTCCAAGAAATATAAAAAATTTGATACATTTGAGATATCTTAATTTATCTCACAATATGAAAATTAAAAAATTATTTGAGACATTGTGTGAGTTATATAATCTACAAATATTAGATCTCGATAATTGTTATAGACTAGAAAAGCTACCTCGCAGGATTGGAAATTTAATCAACCTTAGGCGTTTAATGAACCACAGAACTTGTCTAAGTTACATGCCTAGAGGAATTAAGGAATTAACTTGTCTTCAAACATTGAAGAAATTCGTTGTGAGTAATGATAAGATTAATGAGAAAGGAGGAAGGTTTGAATGTTTGAAAGATCTGAATACTTGAAGAGCTTCTCACTTTAACGGGTTTGGGAAATGTGAATGAGATTAATAAAGGAAAACTTGAAGATAAGGAAAATCTTTATGGTTTAAGTCTAAGATTCGATGAGAAGACAAATGTTGACAATGAAGGAATTCTTAAAAGCCTAAAATCACCTCCAAATTTAGAGGAGTTAGTCATACAATGTTACACTGGCAAAACTATGCCCTTAGACTGGATCAGTGAACTAGGCAAGTTGAGGATGTTAAAGCTAATGTCTTGCTTTGAATTTAAGGATTTGCGCGATTTAGGAAAATTATTATCACTTGAATCATTTATTTTATGCAATATGAAGGGTGTGGAAAATGTGGGTAATGTATTTTTTGGAATAAATATTGATGGCTCGTCACCATCAGGTACCTCTATTGCCTTTCCGAAATTGAGGTATCTCAAGTTCTGGAACATGATAGAATGGGAGGAGTTGGCGTGGGGTCGGAGTACTAATACGAGTGTTAAAATCTTGCCGTGTCTTCGTTACTTGGAACTTGATTCATGCCCAAAATTGAAATCATTATCTCTTTTGGGAGAATTACCATCCCTAGAGTCACTCATTATAAAAAGAATGAACGGTATGAAAATAGCAAATAATGAATTTTGGGAAACAATATCATCTGCTTCTTCGTCCACGGTGTATACCTTTCCAGTGTTGATAAATCTGGAGTTTGAGGATATGAGAGAATAGGAGGAGTGGAATGTTAAATGGGATGAAAGAGTTATGCCAAACCTTCTTTTCTTGAAATTTTGTTCATGCCCCAAGTTGGTGGCATTGCCTGATAACCTTCTCCAAAGACCGGCTTTGCAGAAATTCATTATCAATGAGTGCTCTATTCTGCAAGGAAATTTACCTAAAGGAGACAGGAAATAAATGGTGCAGGATCTCTCACATCCCTTACATTCAAATTCATTCTTCTATTTATGTATACAGAAATGCATCTTCATTAATCACTCTGCTACCCGACACAGAGGTAATTTCTTCTCCTTTATTTCCTGTTAAAGTTATGATGTTGTGCTAGAAGTTCATTGTGCTGGAACTGAAGCTTAAAGATAGTTTTTTGCTGCAAATAATATGTTCTGCATGGTGCTGTGCTGAAGGCAGTAGCTTATGACCAAATTGTCAACTTTTGTGTTAAAATTTGCTTAGGTAAATCCAGCTTGGTTTGAGGCTTTGTGTCTTCTAAGTGTAACATAGTTGTTAGATTTGTGTGGATTACCTTGCATTATGTAAAAGGCTTATTGGATAGTGGTTGTAACAGTAAGCCAAAGATATGTTATATTATATGGTTGTTGGCTAATGAAAAGATAGATTAAGCTCTCTTCAGTTTTCTCTCTTTCTTTGACAATTCAGCATTGCTAAAACACCAACTTGGTATCAGAGCTAGATCACCTCATCTCCATCTAAGAAACTCAAAAAAACCAACCTTCAAATCACCATCAAACTCCAACCTCTTGAAGAACAACTCTGTCCCAAACTACAATCTGGTTTCCATGGCAACTCAATTAGCTTCTCTTTCACTGCCAGTGTTCAATGGTGACTAATACCATATTTGGGCTGTTAGAATGAAGGCCTATCTAAGTGACAAGGGCTTTGGCAGTATGTGGAGGAAGAGAAGCAACCACCGCAGCTTGGTCTAAACCCCACTCTGAATCAGATGAGGATGTATGAACAGGAGATGTCAAAAGCTCCAAGAGCCTTATCTCATATACACTCTGCTGTAACAGACCTTATGTTTACAAGGATAATGACATGTGAAACAGCAAAAGAAGCATGGGATAGGTTGAGGGAGGAGTTCATGGGAAGTGATACAATCAGGAATATGCAAGTGATGAACTTAGGAAGAGAGTTTGAGAATACAGGAGATGGAGAAAGTAAAGGAGTATGTGGATAGGCGTATGAGTGTGGTGAATAAGATCATATTATTGGGAGTTGAGATGAGTGATAATTTGATTGTTGAAAAGGTACTAGTTAGCTTACCCAAAAGGTTTGAATCCAAGATATCTTCCCTAGAAGATTCAAAGGATCTATCACAAATCAGCCTTACCGAATTGGTCCATGCTCTATAGGCTCAAGAACAAAGGAGATTAATGAGGCAAGAGGACACTAATGAAGGTGCTATGATAGCTGCTCAAAAGGGAAAGAATATTCAGGGAAATAAAAAAAAGCATGCCAGAGACAAGAGAGGAAAAGAGAAAACTAGTGGGCAGTGGGGAAAACCAAGTGGAACAAGAAGTTATCCACCATGTTCTCACTGCAAAAGGAAGGGACATGCAAAGAACAGGTGCTGGTTTAGGCCTAGGATCCAGTGTAGAGGGTGCAAACAGTTTGGGCACAATGAAAAAGTGTGCAAAAGCAAAGGTGCACAACCATCACAGCAAGCTCAATATGCAGAGGATCAACAGCAGGGCAGTGAGTCTGAGCAACTATTTGTAGCTTCATGCTACTCAACTCAGACCAGCAGTGATGTGTGGCTAACAGAAAGTGATTATACCAACCACATGACAGCCAATTTGGAGAATTTTATCAGATTGGATAGAACCTACAACTCTAGAGTCAAGATTGGAAATGATGATTATGTGGAAGCTGAAGGAATTGGAGATGTTGCAGTCCTAACACAAACAGGTACCAAGGTTATTTCAAGTGTCTTATTTGTGCTTGAAATTACACAAAATCTGTTAAGTGTAGGAAAAATGCTAGAGAAGAATTACACTTTACACTTTCAAAACCATTCATGCCTTATATTGGATTGTGAGGGAAATGAGTTGATGAATGTTAGGATAATGGGAAAAAGCTTCTCGGTAAAGTGGAAAAAGTCAGTAAACTTAATACTGGTTAGTAGGGCTGAAGAATCTGAGCTTTGGCATAAAAGGTTTGGGCACTTTCACTTCTTACGAATCAAAGAACTTAAGACTAGAGATATGATGTTGGACCTACCCGAAATAGAGGATAAAAAGAGTTTATGCATAGCCTGCCAACTTGGCAAACTCAACAGACTGTCCTTCCCTACAGATCAAGTCTGGAAAGCAGGTGACAAGCTACAGTTGATCCACACAGATGTGTGTGGTCCTATGAAAACTAAATCACTAAATGGCAGTAGGTATTTTGTACTTTTCATTGATGATTATTCAAGAATGGCTTGGGTATATTTTCTGAAGCAGAAAAATGAGGTAGTTGCTGTGTTCAAAAAATTCAAGCTACTGGTGGAGAATCAAGCTGGAACATTGATCAAGACTATAAGGAGTCATAATGGGATAGAATACACCTCAAATGAATTCAGCTCAATTTGCCATGAAGTTGGAATTCAGCATCAGTTTACAACCCCTTACACTCCTTAGTAGAATGGTGTTTGTGAGAGAAGAAACGAAACCATTATGGAAATGGCCAGATGTATGATGGCTAAGAAGAATCTTCCTAAAATGTTCTGGGCTGAGGCTATTAATATAGGTGTTTTTCTTCTAAACAGGCTGCCCACTAAGGCAGTCAAGTACCAACCTCCAATTGAGGCATGGAGTGGAGTTAAACCAGCTGTGGGGAGTTTGAAAATATTTGGAAGCATAGATTATGTCATGATTCCAACAACCAAGAGAACCAAGCTGGATGATAAGGCTAAAGTTGGGATATTTATAAGTTACAGCAGCAACTCCAAAGGCTACAGAGTATATATCCCTAAGTCAAGAAAAATTATATTTACATGGGATATAAAGATTGATGAAAGTGCAGTTTGGAATTGGGAAGAGAAGAGAATAGATGAGCAAGCTTAGTCAAGACAGAAAGAGATGAGAGAGGGGCTGATCTGAGAGGCAGATTCTGATAATGATGAAGAACATACAGTAAGAGGGACTAGATCCTTGGTTGATGTATACGAAAGATGCAATATGGCTATGGTGGAAGCTAGAAATTACTATGAGGCAGCAAAGTCTAATGCGTGGAAGGTTGTAATGCAGGAGGAGCTCACCATGATTAAGAAAAACCATACTTGGAAGTTAGTACACAGACCAGAAAAAAGGAATGTAATACAAGTGAAATGGATCTACAAGCTGAAAACCAATCCTAATGGATCAATCCATAAGCACAAAGCAAGGCTTGTGGTCAAAGATTTTGCACAACAACAAGGGATTGATTTTTCTGATATCCTTGCCCCGGTAGCCAGGCATGATACCATTAGATTATTGTTGGCACTTGCAGCCCAATTTGACTGGAAAATTTTCTAGTTAGATGTCAAATCGGCATTCTTGAATGGGTGGATTTCAGAGGAGATTTATGTGGAGCAACCTGAAGGCTATAAGGTTGAGGGAAAATAAGATCAAGTGTACCTGCTGAGGAAAGCTTTGTATGGTCTGAAACAGGCCCCTAAAGCCTGGTACAGCCGAATAAATGACCACTTATGTGGTCTTGGTTATACTAGAAGTCCAAATGAATACACACTTTACATTATGAAGAATGAAAGTGGATTGGCTGTGGTCTCTCTATATGTTGATGATTTGTTAGTTACTGGAAGCAATCCAGGTGAGTTGGATCAGTTTAAGTCAGCCATGCAAACTAAATTTGAAGTGACTGATTTGGGGCTGATGACTTACTTTCTAGGCATGGAAATAAATCAATCTGCAGGTGGGATTTTTGTGTGCCAACAGAAGTATACAGCTGAGATTCTCATGGAGTTTGGAATGGAGAATTGTAAACCAGTAGATACCCCACTGGTTCCCAACTTGAAGCTAAGCAAACAAGATGGTGCAAAGAGATTGGATGAGGGAAAATACAAAAGTTTGGTAGGGTGTTTGTTGTATTACACAGTCGCCAGACCTAACCTTATGTTCATTGCTAGCTACCTTTCCAAGTTCATGAGTAACCCAAGTGAGCTGCATTTTAAGGTAGCTAAAAGAGTTTTGAGATATGTGAGAGGAACCACCATGTTAGGCATTTGGTTTAGGAAATCCGAAAGTCTGAAACTATTGGGGTATACTGACAGTGACTGGGGTGGTTCCCTGGATGATGCAAAGAGTACTTATGGTTATGTATTTTACATGAACCAAGGTGCAATTTGCTGGTTATCAAGGAAGCAAGAAACTATGGCTTAGTCCACTGCTGAAGCAGAATACACTTCTGCAGCAGCCGCAGTTAATCAAGCTGTATGGCTAAGGAAGATATTGGATGATTTACAACAAGTTCAAGGAAGTCCTACATTGATCTTGTGTGATAATCAATCGGCTGTAGCCATGGCCAAAAACCCTGTACTCCACGGTAGAACTAAACACATTAAGATAAAATATCATGCAGTGAGGGAAGCTGAAAAATGTGGTGAAGTGAGTTTGGTGCACTATAGAGGAGAAGATCAAGTTGTGGACATTATGACCAAAGCTTTGTCCAAATCCAAGTTTGAAGATTTAAGGCTAAAACTTGGTGTTTCCAGCAAAAGCATCAAGGAGGAGTGTTAAAGTTATGATGCTGTGCTGGAAGTTTATTGTGCTGGAACTGAAGCTTGAAGATAGTTTTTTGCCGCAAATAATATGTTCTGCATGGTGCTGTACTAAAGGCAGTAGCTTAGGACCAAATTGTTAACTTTTGTGTTAAAATTTGCTTAGGTAAATCCAGCTTGATTTGAGGCTTTGTGTCTCCTAAGTGTAACATAGTTGTTAGATTTGTGTGGATTACCTTGCATTATGTAAAAGGCTTACTGGATAGTGGTTGTAACAGTAAGCCAAAGATATGTTATATTATATGGTTGTTGGCTAATGAAAAGATAGATTAAGCTCTCTTCAGTTTTCTCTCTTTCTTTGACAATTCGGCATTGCTAAAACACCAACATTTCCCATCTTTGTTGTTGTATGTGTAATGTGTTTATTCTTTGTTCTCAATCCATTGAAAATTATCTCTAGTGAAGTGATGTATTTTTTTTTTCCAGAATCCTCCCGAAGACAGTCAAGATAGCTCATGAAAGAGATTTTTACAATCAGGCAACAATCATTAAGGTGTGACAAACTCCACTAAACTGCAATGTTTTATCGAGAACTACATTACTTTCGCAAAAATCAAATTAATAACTTTAGAAGACAAAATTTTATAATTTTAGATGAAATAAATTAGTTTGAATTTTTGTTTTCTAATACTAGATGCAGCGAGTACATCATTTGATGATGTTAGTTAATAAGGTCTGTATTCTTAAAAAATGTAGACATCTACAGAAAAGATGGACAAAGGTGTTAATTTTAAAGTGACTCTTTTCTCATCTAAAACCATGTAAGTTTCTTCTTTCTATTCCAGCCATGTTCTTTATGGAAAATTTTGTGGGAGTTCATAGCTCCGCAGAATCATTTTTATAGCTCAGAGGATTTTTTTTGGTTGTTCTTTTGGCTATTAGGGTAGCAATGGGACAGTCTCTCCTTCAGAAGAGAATTAAAAAAACTACCTCATGCCCCAAAGATGAATTGATTTGTTCAATCTGTTATGTTATTTCTATTCACTATCTCTCCAATTCTTGATTTCTCAATTTGAAAATGCACCATAGTATTGTCTGACTCCTCAAATTATGTACAATTTACTAATCATGCCAACTAACAGATAGAAAACAATTTTTTTTTTTTTTTGGTCATTTTCCTTGACTTTTTTCTTTTCTCAGGAAAAAATGTGTTAATTTTACCTTGGAATTTGATAATAATTAACAAACTTTATTGTTTAAATGAGCAAGAATATATAATTTTTTTTTCGTTTTTCATTAGACTTGCATTTCAATATCAAAATACAGGGACCTTCAAGATATGAAAGCGTGTTGGAAGAAAGCACAATTCATGGACGTGAAGACTCAGCCTAGGAAATTTTTAATTGATCATAATTGTAAAAATTGGCTAAATCTCTGGCTCGAAAAGATTCACTAAGATTAATGCTTCATTAATGATTTTCAAAATGTTTTCAAAACATAAGTGTTTTCCAAAGAAACTTAGTGCATTAAACTTGGGAATCATTCTTTGAGCCTCGATTTGCCAATCTTTCCGGGTGAGAACTTTTTCATTTTCATATTTTCTTTGTGTTGTGTGTACTAGTTATATGTTGTTTGCTTTTGAGAGAGTTGAAAGGTTTAGATGTGTGTAGCCTGAAATGTAAATTGTATTCGGAAACCCGTTTGAGGTTCAAAGATTCATAGCGGAATCCTTGAAGCTTTAAAGCTTTAAAGTGTGGACGTAGGTCAAATTTACGGCTGAACCACGATAAAATGTTGTGTCTACTCTTTTTTTTCTCAAACTCTTTTATGCATTATAAATCAATTTGCCCGGCCAAACTCATTTTAGGGTAAAGTTGACTAAATAATGAAAGATTGATGTTTTTAATGCATTGATTCACAATGCTGTTGGATTTGTTAAACATCCATAATATCACAAGGTTCTTGAAATTAGGCAATTATTTGAAGGTGAATGCACTTTAAAGTTAAACAAGGTTGTCGAGTCAGTTGTCACGGTCACAAAATTAATCTTAAATACCGTAGTTAACAATAAGAAGGGTTCGAATCCATAGAGAGCAAAGATTAACGACCTAATGTATTTTTGAGTTAACAAAAGGGAAATTGGCAAGTTGATTGATTAAACTAAACAAACTAAATGCAAATAATAAAAGCTTAAAATTAAAACTAGTTAAGGCTTTATAATAAAAACGTTGCCACTACGGTTTTGGTTCGATTCGAGACCAACTCACACAATTCTCATCCACACTCTACAAACCCCTAAACCTACAAGGCAAGGTAGACCAATGAAATAGCTTTCTGGTACTCTAGGTATAATCTATCATGTCTCACCTGATCACTCAACTTCGATTGCTTAAAGACTATCATTGACTGTCGACAAACACTACAAGACAATACCACTAGTTGGTACATGATTAACAAATACAATTTGTCAACACATATCATCCAATCAACCAATTCACAATAAACGTAACAACAGTAGAAATGACATTAAATCCGAACACAACTCAATTACAATCAATGCGAAGTAATGAAAAACAATATTCATCATTTAATTATCTCAAACCAACATCTATCATTCAGTAAGTTCTATAAAAACATTTAATCACAATGGACAACTATATTCATCACAAATTATGCTCAAACTACATTAAAATATCGAAATCAAACATGAAATGAAAACAAATATAGCTGAAAACACAATACTACCAAATGTCCTACAATCAGGCTCATTCAATTAGTCGAGAGCTGATGAGGAGAGCAGTGAAGTCAATCTCGATCTCGCCTACGCCGTAATAGACAACCGGGAGCTCAACTGCTCATGGTGGTATCAATGGAGGCTGGAGCAGTAGAAATGAAGCTGGTCATGGCAAAGAGGAAGTAACCAACAATGAGATAATGTGAAGGAGTGAAAACGAAAAACGGATAGCCTGGAATACAAACAATCGTAACTCACCAGAATACGTTAGTTTTCCAACGGGTCTTCTGGAAAATGATGGCAGAAATGGGATCTGAAGGTACTAATGGAAAGCTCAGGTGTTTGGGAGTTTGAATCGGGTCCTGAGGAGATGAAATGTCACCTTAAAAGTGAGCGAAAATTGGCGTGGAAGCTGAAAAGGTACAGTAGTGGCGATGGTGGATTCTAGCTATTTTGGTGTTGATGAAGCTTAGAGGAAGGTGTATCTGAGTATGAGGAAGGTAGATAAGCTATCAGGGAAGTGAAAGAGTCATCGAAAATCGTTGAAAAATGGCCCAACGATGGTTAGAAGACGAAACGTCGCTAGTAAATGCGTGAATCGCGGCAGTGAGTGCGGGATGATGATGATCGATGCAAGGGAAAGTTGGAACGTCATCAAAAATGAGAGAGGAAGAGTCACCGGTGGTGGACTGTAGATTGGGGTGAGCAGCACTGCTGGAATGCAACCCTCACTTCCTTTATATACAAAAAGTTATGTGGTCCCTGCACGATTGAAAAGTGACAAAATAAACCCCCTAAAAATATGATAGTTTACCTCCCAAATAGCATAGATGAGACAAAATCACCCTTAATCCATAAACCATAACCTAATATCAACTCATATCATTTCCAAAATCATTTCAAACATGTTAAATTCATAAAAAAACATTAGGATGCATTTTTTCATGAATAAATTCATAAATTTCTTAATTGCCTCAATATGATTTCATTTTAATTGCACATAGGATCTTTGTATCACCAAAATAGAGTCAGTTTCATGACTCTAACAAAGATTGCATATATATTATGACTTTGCAAAGAGAGGAAAGACTCACGCTTTGTAAAGTATTTAACAAAAAAAGTTATTTAGTCAATCTGCAGGACCACAAAATCTTTTAACATGCCAGCTCTGGCTTGCTCTCCCTTGAACTTTGCGTTTCCAGCGACAAAGTTTGATATTTAATTGCTTATTAATGGTAGTAGAATGTGGAGAACTTCAGATAAGCAACCTTAAATCAATTTCAACAATTGTCACTTATTTAAGATGGCACTCCTCCAGGGCCTAGATGTGGAGGAGAAATTAAGGCATAGACTCTTATGGCCTTCCCCTCTTAAGGGCTAGGAAACATTGTTAATGTTGGCTTTCTATTGAAAAGATTGAGTTGAATTCACAAAATTCAGCAAACCATTACATTCTCAGAGGAGAAAAATCCACAACAAGGAGTGATAGAGCATCTCTGTTTCTAAGAGTACTGCCTGGGCAGCGGAGCCATAATGTTATTCAGAGGGATAGAACATAACAATCATTCAATTATCATATGTATCAATCTACTCAATTGGAACCGAGAATTTGAATTATGAATTGATCATAAATCAATAAATAAATACAAATAAAATTATTATATTACCATCCCAGAGTTAAAGGCGACTAGTAACAAGAATTATCATTACAACAAAGTACACAAGCTTATTTGCTGGCAAGTAGTATCATTAATTACCTTATTCAATACAAAACCCGATTTTTGGCGATATTAATTATGTTCTGTCTCTCCCATAGATGTAGGTTTCTAGAGCTGGTTAAGATGATGATTGAGTGCAGTCACAAAATCCTTGTCCTCCACATGTGTTTTCCATGAATCAAAATCTTTTAAGCTCTGTAAAATGGTTTCACTCTTGGCCACAGCCATGGTTGTTCCCCTGCAAAACACAGCCCATCCTTCATGATTTTTATCAAAGCTAAGAAGAGTATTAATCTCCAGTAGTAGAGGATCATTTTCCACAGTACAGCCGAGTTGCGTCTTAGAATGCCACATGCTTTCTAACCGCTGCCAGAAGAACCAAACCTGATGGTACTCTTGCAACGAGTGGCTGAGCTTCTCCACAGTAATGGTGTCAACGATTTTGCGAACTTGCTCTTCATTAGAATTACTCTTCCCCACGTAAAGGATTTGCAATGGAATGGATGTAGCTTCCGCGACTTTACGTGCAGTGGCTATGAATTCCCTGATCCAGTCTATGTTTTCCCCACCATACAAGCATATGTAGTTTTCTTCTTTTATCTGAAATTGAAAAAAAAAAAAAAGTATAATCATGGTCTATCGTGCACTTTTTTGTTCAGCCAACTAAACTGTAGTAAGTATATACAATCATCCTCTGAATGGGAATTTTGATAAATGAAAACTATATATACCCAATTAGAAATGTCTTCATTTATAGAGTCGGCTAACAATTTAATTCCCCAAGTCTGTTGTTTCCAAAGTTCTGCCTCCCTTGCTCTAGTGAAAGGGAAGCCTTGCATTCCCCAAATCCAGAGCATGTGGAAGGCATTGTTGCTGACCAATTTCCCTTGAGGGTCAAGTACAACAAGAATAGGCTTCTTGTTCAAGTGCCGCACTTCTTGGATGTAAATGAAGACTGCTGGGTTGATCAAAAAAGGGTGATACACAGAGTACCATGGCATGTTCAACTGGTGATTCTTGAATAGCTGTTGCCTTGCTTCATTCCATTCGGTTGACTTGTCCACAACTGGTATCCACACCACATCGTACTGACTCTCTACGCTTACTGGATCCTGATGAGACTGTGTGTACATTTTCTTTAGCATGAATAGCTCTTGATTGGAAAACTCCTCAGTTGAAATTAGGAGGAGCACAATCTTGCTCTTCAAAACATCAATGCTAGCCTGTTTTTGTCATGCAATTTAGAATTTTTTGATACGAAAAAATTTGAGAGCAATAATATGTTTTAGCAAATATATTATTAGGATTCAATGGTAATTGAGTCTTCTTAACTTGATATGAATTTATTTAAGTAAAATTGAATGAAATATGTTGGTCTTTTAGTAAGGATTTATTATTTCTTAATAATTCAGTAAAAGGAAAAGAAAGAAAAATTAGCGTACCTTTTCCTTGGCATCACCCTTAAAAAGAGGTGGCTGATTTTCCTTGGCATGAATCAATACCCTTAGAACCTCCATGTTATCCTTATGCGGTGATTCCATGAGTTGCACATGTAACAGCATGCGGTGATAGTGTTTGAGTGAAGTTACAAATTCCTTTCCGTTAATTTTTGTTCTCCATAAATCAAAATCGCTCAAACATTGCAAAATGTTTTCACTTTTGGCGATAGCCATGTCTGAACCCCTGCAAAACACAGCCCATCCTTCATCACTGTTATCAAAGCTAAGAATAGTATTAATCTCCTGCATTATAGGATCATTTTCTAGAGTAAAGCCGAGTTTCATCCTAGAGTGGCATATGATCTTTAACCGCTCCCAGAAGAACCTAACAAGAGGGAGATCTTGCAATGAATGACTAAGCTTCTCCACTGTAATCACGGAGATGTTTCTCTGAATTTGCTCTTCAGGGTTGCTCTTCCCCACGTAAAGGATCTGCAATTTAATGTGCGCAGCTTCAGCAACTTCCTGTGCTTTGGCTATGAATTTCTTGATCCAGTCTATGTTTCCTCCACCATATAAGCATATGTTGTTCTCTTCTGCTATCTGAAATTGCAAAAAATCTATAAATTATGAGCTAGCATGCACATTTTTACTCTGGTAAATAAATTGCATTAAGTACCAACAATGATTGCCTCGTTTTCATTTAATAAAAATTATAGATCAACAACTTGTTAACATTAGTCAGGCCATTGAAGCTATCTAGCGTTGTCATACTGTTGATCGCATTATCGGTCTAGATTTTAGGTCTATGAATGAAAATCTGGAGAAATATATTTACCCAACTAGGAATGGCTTCATTTATAGAGGCAGCTAACAATTCAATTCCCCAAGTATGTTGCTTCCAAAGCTCTGCCTCCCTGGTGCTAGTGAAAGGGAATGCAAGGCTTCCCCAAATCCAGAGCACGTGGAGGGCATCATTGTTGACCAATTTCCCTTGAGGGTCAAGTACCGCAATAATAGGCTTCTTCTTGACGTGCCGCACTTCTGGGATGTAAATGATGATCGCTGGGTCGATTAACGAAGGGTGATACACAGAGTACCATTGCATGTTCGACTGGTGATTCTCGAATCGTTGTTGCCTTTCTTTGTTCCATTCGTTTAACCTGTCCACAACTGGTATCCACACCACTTCGTATTGACTCTTTTCCCTTTCTGGATCCTGACGATACTCTCTATACATTTTCTTTAGCATGAATATCAGCTCTTCATCGGCAAATTCCTCATTTGAAATCAGGAGAAGCACAGTCTTGCTCTTCAAGACTTCGATGCCAGCCTGTTTTTGTCATGCAATTTGGAACTTTCTGATATTAAAAGATTTGATAGCAATAATATGTTTTAACTATATATTGTTAGGATTCAATGGCAATATGGTCTCTTTTTAACTTGATATAAATTTATTAGAGTAAAATTGAATGAAATATATTGGTCTTTCAGTAAGGCTTATTATTTCTTAATAATTCATAAAAAGGAAATGAAAGAAAAATTATCATACCGTTTCCCTGGCATCACACTTAAAGAGAGATTTCTGATCTTCCTTGGCATGAATCAATGCCCTTAGAACCTCCATGTTATCCTTGTGTGGTGATACCATGCGTTGCACAAGTAACAGTTTGTGGTGATAATGTTTGAGTGAAGTTACAAATTCCTTTTCGTTCATATATGTTCTCCATAAATCAAAATCATTCAAGAATCGCAAAATCTCTTCACTTTGGGTGATAGCCATGTCTGAACCCCTGCAAAACACAGCCCATCCTTCATCACTGTTATCAAAGGTAAGAATAGTATTAATCTCCTGCATTATAGGATCATTTTCTAGAGTAAAGCCGAGTTTCATCCTAAAGTGGCATATGATCTTTAACCGCTCCCAGAAGAACCTAACCAGAGGGAGATCTTGCAATGAATGGCTATGCTTCTCCACTGTAATCGTGGAGATGTTTTCCTGAATTTGCTCTTCAGGGTTGCTCTTCCCCACGTAAAGAATCTGCAATTTAATGTGCGTGGCTTCAGCAACATCCTGTGCTTTGGCTATGAATTTCTTGATCCAGTCTATGTTTCCTCCCCCATATAAGCATACGTTGTTTTCTTCTGCTATCTGAAATTGCAAAAAACCTATAAATTATGGCCCAGCATGCAAATTTTTGCCCTGGTAAATAAATGCAAAAGTACTAACAATCATTGCCTCGTTTTCATTTAATAAAAATTATAGGTCAACAACTTGGTAACATTAGTCAGACCATTGAAGCTATCTAGCGTTGTCATACTGTTGATTGCATTATCAGTCTAGATTTTAGGTCTATGAATGAAAATCTGGAGAAATATATTTACCCAACTAGGAATGGCTTCATTTATAGAGTCAGCTAACAATTTAATTCCCCAAGTCTGTTGCTTCCAAAGCTCTGCCTCCCTGGTGCTAGTGAAAGGGAATGCAAGGCTTCCCCAAATCCAGAGCATGTGGAGGGCATTATTGTTGATCAATTTCCCTTGAGGGTCGAGTACCACAAGAATAGGCTCCTTCTTGAAATTCCACACTTGCTCGATGTACATGATGACCGCTAGGTCAATCTGGGAAAGTTTATATGGAGAGTACCATGGCATCGTACACTGGTAAATAAGAAATTGGTTTTCCTCTGCTACGGTCCTTATGGTTGCTCTGTCCACAATTGGTATCCACACCAGTTCAAACTGACGAGACTCCCTATACATTTTCTTTAGCATGAATAGCAGCTCTTCATCGTCAAACTCCACGTTTGAAATGAGGAACAGCACAGTCTTATTCTTCAAAACTTCGATGCTAGCCTGTTTTTGTCATGCAATTTAGAACTGTTGAATACGAAAAAATTCAAGAGCAATAATATGTTTTAGCCATACATTGTCAGGATTCAATGGTAATTAGGTCTCTTCTTTAACTTGGTATAAATTTATTTAAGTAAAATTGAACGAAATATATTGGTCTTTCAGTAAGGATTTATTGTTTCTTAATAATTCATCAGGAGGAAATGAAAGAAAAATTAGCATACCGTTTCCCTGGCATCACCACCCTTAAAAAGAGATCTCTGATCTTCCTCGGCTTGAATCAATGCCCTTAGAACCTCCATGTTATCTTTGAGCTGTGATTCCATGAGTTGCACAAGTAACAGTTTACGGTGATAATGTTTGAGTGTAGTTACAAATTCCTTTTCGTTCATATATGTTCTCCATAAATCAAAATCGTTCAAGCATTGCAAAATGTTTTCACTTTTGGCGATAGCCATGTCTGAACCCCTGCAAAACACAGCCCATCCTTCATCTTTTTCATCAAATCCAAGAATAGTATTAATCTCCTGCATTATAGGATCATTTTCCTCAGTACGGCCGAGTTTCATCCTAGAGTGGCATATGATCTTTAACCGCTCCCAGAAAAACCTGACCAGAGGGTGATCTTGCAATGAATGGCTAAGCTTCTTTGCTATAACCGTGGATATGTTTCCCTGAATTTGCTCTTCAGGGTTGCTCTTCCCCACGTAAAGGATCTGCAATTTAATGTGTGCGGCTTCAGTAATTGCCTGTGCTTTGGCTGTGAATTTCTTGATCCAATCTATGTTTCCTCCACCATACAAGCATATGTAGTTATCTTCAGCTACCTGAAATCGCAAAAAAAAACTGTAAATTATGGTCCACCATGCACATTTTTATTTTGGTAAATAAATTGCAATAGGTAGAAACAATCATTGCCTCTATTCGTTTAAAAAAATTATAGATCAACAACTTGGTAACATTAGTTAGACCATTGAAGCTATCCAGCATTGTCATATTGTTGATCACATTATTGGTCTAGATTTTAGGTCTATGAATTAAAATTTAGAAAAGTATATTTACCCAATTAGGAATGTCTTCATTTATAGAGTCGGCTAGCAATTTAATCCCCGAAGTCTGCTGCTTCCAAAGTTCTGCCTCCTTCTCACTAGTGAAAGGGAATGCAAGGCTTCCCCAAATCCAGAACATGTGGAGGGCATTATTATTGACTAATTTCCCTTGAGGGTCAAGTACCGCAAGAATAGACTTCTTGTTGACGTGCCACACTTCCGGGATGTAAACGATGATCATTGGGTCGATCAGCAAAGGGTGATACACAGAGTACCATGGCATGTTCAACTGGTGATTCTTGAATCGCTGTTGTCTTTCTTTGTTCCATTCGTTTAACCTGTCCAAAATTGGTATCCACACCACTTCGTATTGACTCTTTTCCCTTTCTGGATCCTTACGATACTCTCTATACATTTTCTTTAGCATGAATAGCAGCTCTTCATCGGCAAATTCCTCATTTGAAATTAGGAGAAGCACAGTCTTGCTCTTCAAAACTTCGATGCTAGCCTGTTTTTGTCATGCAATTTGAAACTTTCTGGCATTAAAAGATTCAAGAGCAATAATATGTTTTAGGTATATATTGTTAGGATTCAATGACAAGTAGGTCTCTTTCTAACTTGATATAAATTTATTAGAGTAAAATTGAATGAAATATATTGGTCTTTCAGTAAGGCTTATTATTTCTTAATAATTCATAAAAAGGAAATGAAAGAAAAATTATCATACCGTTTCCCGGGCATCACCCTTAAAAAGAGATTTCTGATCTTCCTTGGCATGAATCAATGCCCTTA